ATCTTTTTACATAACAAAATTATTTATCTAACGCAATGCAAAATGAAAATTAACTGCATTTCTAAATTAAGTTCGTCTACCATTTTGATTATTTCATTAATTCTTTTATTTACTCAACGAGTATTTAAATCCATTAAATCCTTATACTATATATATATTATAGATAAGATCAAAAAATAATTTATCTTACAACTAAGAACATTAATTAAATGCATTCCCCAAAGTCATAGTCACGAATCTGATTTTAATATTCAAACGAAAATAATCCTACGAGAATGATTATGTTGTATATACAACTTTTTGTTCATATATTCTTTTATTTTTACAAGCCTTTAAAATTCGACGAATCTTTTTAGATAAAAAGAAAAATTAATTCTAGTCTCTTTAATAAGAAAACCAAAAAAAAAATTGGAGAGAAATAGAAAGAGAAAGAGAAAGAGAGAAAGAAAGAGACAGACGTAGAAGGCGCCGCGAAATTGGCAGCTTAATAAAAGAAGCGACGGTGAATCGGCTGCAGTTGATCGATTCGAAACTGCACTTTCATCGTGATAACGATCACTCATCAAGCGTACACCTAGTATTTCTTTTATCTTCCCTGATTCCTTCTTATTCTTTCGTCGTCGTTGATCGATCTCGTGCTATCCAACGTACACTATCACATACTAAATACACACCCGCACGCACGCACTCACACACACACAGGCGTGCACGCACATGCACACGTGGAGCCGGTGATACCCGTTTTTGAAGGTGCGCTAGAACGCGCTTTGGTTCTTCTCCTTCCTTTATTTCGTATTTTACATTCTTCCTAACCGATGTTGTATTTTTAATCGAGAGGGGGCCCTCCCCTTCCTTTTCCCCTTCTTCTTCTTCCCCTTTACTCTAACTCCCTATCCATCTTTCTCTCTCTCTCTCTCTCTCTCTCTCTCTCTCTATCTATCTTTCTATCTAAATTTATTTCATAATTTTTTTTTCCTTTTTTTATTTTCAATCTTAAAAAGAATTCGGCTATTATGAACATTCAGTTTTGTTCGTTAAAGAGCATAAATTAGAACCAACAATCGAATTTTCTTAATCGACCGGTCAACCCAATTCGTTTCACTCGAGCGAACGACTTAAGAAATAAAAAAATAAAAAGAAAAGAAATCTGTGAATTAATTATTAATCGTTAAAATGTTCGAAAAATTCGATTAGTAGTACAGGTTTTTAGTGGATCTTTGGAGATAAGCATTTTCATTCGTTTGAAGCAATTATTCGAATCGACGAAATTAAACTAAACTGTCGAATTTAATCGAACCCTTTCGTTTGGGAACGCGATACACGATCGAAATATCCATTTAGGGTTGAAACGAGTGTGTACGGTATTATACGATATCTTAATTTCAAGGTATCGTCAACGTCGCACGCACGAAATCATCAGAAAATTTTACGATCTCGTTCGAGAAGGATCTCAATCGAATACTTTTCGAAACAAAAATAATAAAAAAAAAAATTAAAAACCTTGTTTAGGTTAATAAGAAAAAGTAATCAACAAAATCATTTCAATTTGATTGACACAAGTAATAAAATTTAACGTGTACACTGCACACACCACCCAAAAGTTTGAAATATTTTTGTAAAATGACTCGCGTAGTCCTAGCTCTCTTTTTCTATTGAAAAGAAAAAAGAAGAAAAAAACAAACTACAATCAGAAATAATTGTCGTGGTTCACGGATGATTCCCATTGGCCACCAATGACCCACGTGACAGTAAACGTCTTAATGACATTGTCGATTGAAATAAAAGATGGCCGATAGGTTTTCAAGCTTTTGATTTTTCGTAAGCTCGAGTACTTTGATAATTAAGATGCGCCATGGAAAAGAAAAAAACAAGAGGAAGCAGAGAAAAAAAAAGTGCAACGAACGAGAAGGGGGTATTATCATAAAACATCGGGAAGGAAAGTAAAAAAGAAGAAAAAAAAGAAATAATAAAGAAGAGGAAGAAAAAAATAGGAGATTTCTAACAACGAGCTTTCTTCTTTCTCTCTTTCTCTCTCTTTCTTTCTCTTTCGTTTTTGCTCGAAGAAAAAGGAGAGACTTTGAAACAAGCGCGTTCATCTTTTATTCTTTTTCCCGGTACAGTAATCAACATACCAATTTGCGATCTCTACAATAGCGTCTCATCGTCTCCCGTTTGCGTCTCTCTCACTCTGTCTCACTCTCTTTCTCTCTCTCTCTCTCTCTCTTTCACCCCCACTCCCCCTCTCACTCTCACTCTCTTTCTCTTTCTCATTTTTTAATATTTTTCTTTTTTTTTACATCGATATCTTGGAGGGGGGAAAGAAAGAGATAAAATAAGGTGGTTGCAGAGTAGAAGAAGAAGAAGAAGAATAACAAAAAGAAAAAAAGCACAGAAAATAGAAAAAAAGAAGGAAAAAGGACGAATAAAAGGAAAAAAAAAGAAATAAAGAAAAAGGAAACGCAAGAAGAGATCGTAGAGCCTCATCAACGGAGCACAAAGTCTCCTTTGTCTTTCGTTCTCTCGCAGATCTTCGTCGAAAGTCATTTGTGGATCTTCGTTCGCGCGTTTTTGCGCGTCTCAATCGAGTAAACACGTTAATCGATGCCGGGGTAAAGAATCTGAAGAAATAGGGTTGGAACATGGAATTGAACTAAACAAGAATTGACGAGGGTAGATGAGGAAGGTTTTATAAAATAAGAAGACAAAATGGTATTCAAGCGAACAAAATGATCTATGCATATTAACGATAATAACAAATCTGATTATTTTTATGAATAATTGACGAATTAATCAATTAATATTTTATAATTAGAATCAACAAAATTGAACTTTCATTCGTATAAAACAGAAAATATTAATGAAGATGAAGAAGATTCACGAATGAAGGTAATTTTACGTATGAAAAATGTGCATTAACAGCAACCATAATAACAATGATATGATCGTTCGTATAGATAATAATAATAAACGAATTAATTCATGAAATATGATGATAAGATTCAAGAGAAAAAAAGGGGGGATTGAGATTTGATTCGTAATAATCGAAAGTTGAATTTTATTTGACAATAAAATGTAGATTTTTATTGACAAAAGCGTTGAGAAAAAAGAAATGCACATTCAACCGGTCATTATAACTGCAGAACATTGGCGAACTTGACAATGTTCCTTCTTCACAAGGTAAATGTTCTAACTCTTAGGATTTTATCCGTTGATAAATAAAAAATGTATAAGTAAAATAAAATAAAATAAAGGTAGGAAAGAAAGTAAAGAAAAGAAGGAAAATAAACGTTAAACCTGACGTTATTCGAACGACCGGTGTATGCAAATATCGCGTAATATGATAGCAAATATACGAATATTCGCGGGCTACGGGTTCGTAGCGGGTGTAAACTTCTCGGGTTTTCTACAAACGCGTGTGTTTATCGGAAACAAGAAAGAAAGAAAGAAAGAAAGATAGAGAGAGAGAGAGAGAGACATACAAAAAAAGAAGAAAAAGGAAGAGTACGAGAGTAGCAACAGCAGCAACAGCAGGATCACCAACAGAAGAAGAAGAAAAAGAAGAGAGTAGGAGGAGGAGGAGGAGTATGAGGATGAGGTTGAACCTCCTCGTAGGATCCGCGACGAAATCGGCGGTTGGAAACGGCCATGAACCATTTTCGCCCTTAGAGAGAGCACCGTACACAGCACAGACAAAATAAAAATGCGACGTTAGAGAAAAAGAGTGAGTGAGTGAGATACTCGAGATGTTGGTAAACGAGATGAAGGAAGAAGAAGAAGAAGTAAAAGAAGAAGAAGAAGAAGAGTAGGAGGTGGAGGAGGAGGGGGAGGAAAAAGAAAAGGAAGGGGAACCGAGCAACTTCTCTCACCCGGTTTGGGCTGGCTTGGCCTTCCAAGGGGCCAACCTAGACGCGTGATTCTCATCTTGCGCTGGTCCACCAGGAGAAAAGGAACCTACAATTCTTCTCTCTTTCTTATCCTCCACCTCCAACCTCCAACCTCCTCTTCTTCATCCACCTTCCTCCTTATTCTTCTTCTTATTATTATTCTTCTTCTTCTTCTTGTTCGTCTTTTGATTCTTTTTTTTAAACTACGACAACGACGACGACGACGACGACGATGTGAAGGAGGAGGAGGAGATGGAGGTTGGGGTGGAGAGAAGAAACCGAAGGACGAGGAGAAAGAGCCTAACGGCGCTTATACTTTGCCGTCCGCTTGCTGGCGATTTATTAGACGATCTAATTAATAGGCCGAGCGCGTGCGCTGATAGTCCTTGCAAATATGCGTTCCACCTTCTTCTTCTCATTATTATTATGATTATTATTATTATTATAATTATTATTCGTCTTCTCTACTTCTTCTACTTCTTCTTCTTCTTCTTCTTTTTCTTCTATTTCGAAGAAATCGAACTGGCGATTGCGATTTATTGCCCTGAAGACGGAGATTCACGATTCCGAATTTCGTTATTCACGCGAGAAACGGTTCCCTTATACTTTTGTTCAGAAGAGAAACTTTTTAGAGAACTCGTAGACGATTTTTTATTTTTGTTATCCTTTCTCTTACAGTTTAAGAATAATTATGCTTCTCTTTTTCTCTACGGTATTTAGAAACAAAGTTGGTAAAATGTTTTTCCTTTTTTTTTTTTAAGATCAGATAAAAATATCGGTTTAAATTATGTTTTTATTTTTTTACTCAATTATTTTATTTTTTTTTATTATCATATTTAAATTATCGAAATAAATATACTGATTTTAATGTATTATTCATCAGCAAATTAATTAACTTTAAACTGTCAACGTTTGTTAAACGGTATACAAAAAATAAGCTTTTATTATTCAACGATTAATGTTTTATTTTCTTTTTTAAGACGTTCCCGACCAAACTAAATTTAATTTAATGTTATTAATACAGTACGAATTTTTAATTGACAGTAATAATTACCAATTGTAAATAATTTATTTTTAGATTAATATACAATTCAAATTTTTCGTGTGTACTGATAACTATGAACGTGGCAGGAACCGTGTTAAATATCATCTTTATAACAAATAAATATAAAAATCCACGCATGTATCACATCTTTCTAAATTTTGTTTTTAATAATCTACGAAGAAATGATTTCAGTTAGTATTACCAAAAAATTAGAATAGAAATTAGCCGATCTTTAGTATATTTCCATCTAATTTATAGCCAATGAATAATGCGTTAATAATTTTGGAAAACTAATATGAACGCTCGTCATTCGTTTCAGCTTTAAGACTAATGTCACGAGACGTCAAACGCACGCTGTTGCAATTAAGCGTGAAATCTAAAGCAACGTTCACACCAGTACAACAACCCTCCTCACGAATCACATAATCTCTATTTTCAATTTCATCATTCGTCCTCGTTCTCTCGCGAATATCTTTCAAATTTTTCCCTTGCGTTTTTCTAGCTTTTTTCTCGACATCCTTTTCCACTTCGGTATTGGAAACCTTGCACAATCCTGATCTTCCGTGATACTTCATAGCAATTCTTATCGTATGCGTTACTTCCGGACTCGGACTTCTCGATGTTGCACAGGTAACTTCCGTTTTGTTTCTAACGTTGATTCGCAAATTTTCAGGAATTTCCGAACAGATGCAATCGTCGATGTTTTGAAATTTTGTCTCCGTTAACGTCATCTCATCGTCTCCTTCTTCTAAAATTTAATTAATTAGAATTAACAGAAAATTTAATTAAAGAAATTATATTTATGGGGTTCCAGAAAAACTATAATAAAAAAAAGAATACGTGAAAATTAAATTAGATCATTTAACACGATTGATTACACTTTTACAGTAATCATTTCTTAATTTTTAAATACAATAACAAAATAATATTCTAGCATCCCTATTAAAATTAGATAAAATTATTGTGAAAAGATAGTTTTTCGTATGAGTAAGGTAAATTTTGTGTTAATACGTGATCGTTTTAATGGTTTAATCGCCGCGAGGTATGGCAACGCGACCGATCGTGAACATTTCTTCTAATGCGTTGCATAGCAACAGGGGCAGCCCCTCCTAATGAATGCGCCCAGCCGAATGCAACCCTATTTTCACAGCTGCACCTTTCTCTCTACTCACCTTCCTTCCCTCTACTCTCACACTTGTGCACACCTTTCGCGCCTCGATTATCTTTCCATTTTTTCTTTTCATTTTCTAATACCATCACGTTTACCGCCATTAAATCGCACACGAGCTTCCAAACTGGCCAATCCTTTTCGTTCGTTTTTCACCTATATACAGCCGGTTAAATCCGAACCGATAATCGCTATAGTCAGTAAAGAAAACTTTACTAGCTTCCTTTAATTAGATTTCCTTCCCTGCTTTTGCGTTACCTCGTTAATTGATTTTAATCAAATTTATATACGTGCGATATTAACTGAGTTACCAATCCTCGACCTACAATTTCTATAACTTCATATTTCTTTTCGTTCTTTTTTTCTTTTATTATTTATCGCTTTATAGGATAAATTAAAAAAATTTATATTTGTAAAATGAGTAAATCGATTTAATTAAATTTATATACCTCGCGCAATCAATTCTCGATCTGCATTAACTTTACATTTTAAATATTATTATAAATTTTTTTTGCAATTAAATAAGTATATGAACTGTCTACAGTACAAATTTGAATTGTTGCACATTCGTAAATGGCATACAATACCAATTTGAATAAACGTACATTTTTTAATTATCCACAGTTCAAATTACAAATTTCAATCAATTATTTTCAGGACTATTAAACAAAATAATTACATTTTTCGCATATAACAAAAACAATATACATTTAGCAAAGAATATATTAATTAAATTGAAATTTTCCCGATATTTGACAAACCCAATTATCGATTTACTATTACTTCAACTTAATATTCTTTTTATAGTAATACTATTTATCGCGTAATAGGTAAATTAAAGTGAGAAAGTAAAAAAACAAAGAAAGAGGAATACAATACTTACGAGAAGTCCTAAGAATGTTCCTGGTACATTCTTCGAGGGTTGCGACTTCCTTCGTGCATTCCAATGAATCTACCTGGTTCTTCCTACTTCTTCTTCTTCTTCTTCCTCCTCCTCCTCCTCCTACTCTTCTCACACCATCAGAAAATGCATCTAACTTTCTCCCACGGGATTCTTTATCTCTCTCCTTACCGATCTCGCTAACTTTTTCTAAAAGTTCATCGAGAATATCGTCCTTGTCTTCTTGGGGATTAACATCCAAATAGTTTGATTTATTTCGTTCGCTAGCTTGAGACTCGATTAACGGTATCGGTGATTCTGGTAATTCGAGTGAGACGATCGTCAAATATGCCGGTCTTTCTTTTCGTAATCGTTCCTGCCAAGATCTGTAACTGATTGTGAGATTAAAGAAGAAGAAGAAGAAGAAGAAGAAGAAGAAGAAAAAACAAAACAAAAAATGGTCATAAGAATAAGCTTTTGAAATTTATCGAAAGGTACAGCAATGTAAAATCAAATGAAAATAAAAAAAAAATAAAAAAAAGAAGAAAAAAAATGATCAGTAGAGAGAAAATTGCGCGAGAGACGATCGTACGTAGATGATAACGATGTTTATAACGATATTGCCAGTCGTTCGTAATTTTAATACTACTTCATTTAATAACGTTATAATATTACTCATGGTCGTGCTCGTGCATATGCTCGTGCTTGTGTTTGTACATTCGATCAACGGTTAGGTTCTTTATTAAGTCGTCCAACCGCGATCGTTTGTTCTGTTCCGACCGTTAAATTTTAGTGCGTTTAATTAAGGGTTCCTACGGAAAAAAATAAGGAAGAAAAAATCTAGAAAAAGAAAAAGAAGAATAAGAAAAGATGAAAGAAGATTTTTCAAATCGAGGACGATCACGTAAACGATTCCTCTCCTCCCCGTTTTCTCTTTCTATTAAAATCGTTAACAATAATAATGTCGTTTATAAAAATAGTAGAATCGAAAATAATTGATCGTATTTTTGAAAAACAAAAAAAAATGTTTGAAAGATCGAATCGAGATTCGATTGCGTATTCACCTGGGCAAAAAGATAATCGAGTAATCGTACAAATGATCGGTTAAGTTTCGTTTGGAAAAAGAATAAGATGAGTAAAAGTAAAAAAAGAAAGTATGAAACGATCTTTCCGTGACCTTCACGTACGCGTTCAGAGAGAGAGACGCATATCGGATAATTAAAGGTGGAGTCGCGAGCTTGAAAGGAAGAAAAGAAAAGAAGGAAGGAAGGAAAAGAAGAAAGAGAAAAATACCTTGAAGATCCACGAGTTGAAAAGAAGGAAGAGGAGGAGGAGACGTAAGGACCGGCAGGATGACAGATATGGCGCGGTGGCGTGCGCGACCTTGAACCGCTTGACCGTTGTTCCTTCAAGCTCCGAGGATCCTCGAGAGTTAGGCGCCGAATGTAAAGTCCTGGCACCTCCTCAACGATTCGACCTCTTCTCCCGCAGGAAGCCACGATTATCACCATCGATTAACCCCTTTTTTTCTCATATTTATTATCCCCTTCTTCCTTAAAAAAGAAAAGATAGACAAACATTTTCACTTTTATTAAATATTTGATTATTAAACAATCATTAACAACAACAAATATAAATATATTCGATCAAGGATATTTTCACGTATTTAAAAAATTACAATAACGTTTTTAGCCAACTAAAGTAATAATTGTCAGTATGGAAAAATCAGATAAATTGTTCACAAAAAATAAATGTTAGTTTGGTTAGTAACGTTAATCGAGCGTCGACGAGAAGATCGATTCCCTCGTGGGCGAAGCCAATTAGCGACGACTCATTCTGCCGGATCATCGTCACGAGACTAAACTGCAATCATAGTTTAGCATTCTACATCCTATCTCTAAAACTTTCTTCATTATCTTCATCCCGAAGAAAATATCTCACTGATTAAATATGATTAAATCGATGATCAAATTCATATTATTTCGCATAAACGATAAGAATGAGTCATTGGTAAAATGACTTTCGCCAATCGGCAGGTGGTCGTCTTTGAACAATCGAGGAAGAGCCGCACGAGACGTGGTGAATCGACCTGTAGACCTAAACCATTCTTTGGACAAGGTAAAGGTAAAATAAGGGGGAAGGTGGTAGGGGAAAGGAAGACATTAAAACGTTGTTTAACAGGCTATTTTGAATTTTAATGTTCTTGTTGGAGCTAGCCAAGGTGTGGGATAGATTAGTTTTCGTTCGCATGACTGTCAGCTACTTGCCGCAGGCTTGACTGACTGACTATCTTCTGACTATGCTCTCTCAGCAAACTGGACCGACCAACCGAATGACCGAACGAACAACCGGCTTATTCTTTCTCTTTCTTTCCTATTACGATTCATTGTCGACCACGCTCGTTCACATTTCAAGGGGACCACACCGATACTAATACACCTATCTCTCTTTCTCTCTGTTTGATCCTTTCAACAGAAATGTTTATTAATTCTTGATAATATCCAACCTTTCGCTCAATAAAATTCATCAATTCTTAGGTGTCATTCGATATTCATATTATTGAACAGTTGTGGTTAATCTTCAGATATTCTCCAGCGCCAGCTCATCGTTTAAAACGATTCACGATAAATTGCTTTTTAAACACTAGCTCATGCACCGATTAGAATAACCCAGAGACGCGAATTATGTACGATCGGTGTGGGTAGAACGAGACCCGGTGGAAAGATTAGATGCCGATTAAAATTCATGACGTGTCCGAAGGTATAATTTGATTTCGTAGGTGTTCGAGCAGATCGAGTTACCAAGAACCAACCAACGAACCAACGAATAAACGAATGAACGAACGGACGGACGGACGGACGGATGGACAGACGAATAGACTAGCATACGAACCTCTTTTTAGTAGTTTAGTTGAAAGAACTCAGACGTGAAGAGTGCGGAACGCAAACCTGTAGAAAACGTTCACGATCAACGAATCAACTTTTCTTTTCAAACGCCAGACATATTATATCAGTATGTGTGTGAGCGCGCATGTATATAT